GGCGTGCCGGCGGCCGCGGGGCCGGGGGCCCGGCTGCCGGTGGGGCTCGGGTGGTCTCACGGGGCTGCCGTCCCCTCCTCTGCAGGCCCTGGTTTTGTGCTGTGGCGCTTTGACCTGCTGCTGCTGCTGCTGTTTCTGCTTCTTCTGCTGCGGGACATGCTGCCCGCCAAAGGAGGACGAGTCCTACAAGTACGTCGACCCCAAGGACCTGGAGGCACAGATGGGCGCAGGTGAGTCAAGCTGTCTGTCTGTCTCGAGCCCCAGCGGCTGAGACCACCTGGCTTTGTCTCGTGTGGGGCTCTGGGGGGCTCCCCCCATCCCACCTCGCGTGGGGATTGGAGCTCTGGCTTGAGGCTCAGGTCTGACTTGGCCGCATCTCTTGCCTAACAGCCAGCCCTCGGGGTTTTCCTGTCCGGACCGGGGCTGGTGACGGCGGTGGAGGGAACCACCGCCCAGGCCGTGGGGATGCCTTCTCCTTCCTCATTTTCCCCTGGGCAAGGGCTCCCTGAAGCCCCTGTAAGGGTCTGTGGTCGCGAGACGCTTGGGCCCGTGCACTCCTGGGGAGGGAGCGTAGGGTGAGCAGCTGTGCTCCAGGCTGGCTTTGTTCCCTGGGTACTGGCCATACTGGTGTCTACAGGGACTGCCACTGGGTCACTTCTGCAGGTTTCGGTGGGGTAGGGGGCACTGCTGCATGGCTGTGTGCTGGCTAGAGGCTTGGGAGCCTTGGTCTGCGGGAGCCTTCATGGGGGTGTTGGGACGTCCCAGATACCTGCTCGCTGGCACCACGAGACAGGGCTGAGCCGCTGATTGGCAGCTCTTCTTTTCCAGATGCGCAGATACCTGTTGTGGCGCAGCCCCCGCCTGCCAGCGCGGAGCCCTTGCCAGCTGTCAGCACCAGGACCGAGGCCTGAGGCTGGCATCAGCCCCGCCGGCTCCCCCAGGACTCCGGGCAGGGATCCTCCTTTGGGACTGTCACTTTCCGGGACCCCGGTCATGCCACCCGGGGTGGCTCTCCAGCCTCAGGGTGGCTAGAATCTCAGGTTAATTTGGCCAGCATCAACGCAGAGGCTCTTCTGCCCCTGCTCAAGCTCCAGGGCGCTGCCCCTGTCTCCCAGCAGTGGTGGTGGAGGTGGCCTGGAGCCCACGCTGCTGCACCCCATCCCCAGTGCCTCGCCTGCTGCTGTGCCCCTGCCCGGCCCTGGGCGCCGGCAGCCGGCCCGAGCAGCCACAAGCGGAGACCTCTCCAGGCCAGGCTCTGGAGCTTGCGAGAGGTAGCCGAGCGTGTCCGAGACCGTTAGCACTGTAACCTCTGGGGCCGGGCTCAGCCTGCTGCCTGCCCTCACAGGGACCCTCCTGCTGGGTGCCAGGTGCCAAATGCTGCTCGTGGGGTTGGGGTGCCACCTTCCGTACCCCCTTCCTCTCTGCCCTGCCGCAGCCCCGGCGCACTGGCTGCACCCCACGCTCGCTGCTGCTGGCAGGCTCCCTGCAGGGCTGGGCCCAGTACAGGCACTTTCCTTGGGTTTGTATGTTTTATGGGCACCATTAAAGGATGACAGGAGGGGAGCGCGTTTCTGTGTGGTCTCTGTCTCGTCAGGGGCCGCCTGAACCCTCTGCAGCGGGACGTGCCTCTGCGCGGCCCTGCCCTGCGCTGGGGGGGGCCGCGGCTGTGGGTCCTGCAGCGGTGCTGGGCTGAGCAGGGTGTGGAGTAGGCAGGTTGTGTCCCAAGTGTTGTGGCGCGGGGGGTGCTTTCTCGCAGGGGTGGACGTCACTCTGTCTCCTGTCACCTTCCTGGGACAGCTCTGTGTCCCCCAGCCAGCGCTGCCTCCTGCGGGACCGTGCTTTTCCCCTTCCTTGCTGCTGCAGTGTGCAGGGCAGCAGCAGCCTGGCCAGGCACCCGGGTCCCACTGGGGCGTCCGCAGGGACTGTCCCCGCTCCTACTGCTGCTGACGTGCTGTGTGGCACCGTCCCCGTCTCCCTGCGGCCCCGTGGGGGACGGCCGCCCTGGGCAGGAGCAGCGGTGCTGCGGCGGTGTGGCTCGCGCTGGCCCTGGGGCTCTTTCCACTGCGCGTGCCAGCCGAGGGCTCGGTGCACGCGTCCTGCGCGCCGTGCTGCCCGGAGCCCTGCTCCCCGCCCAGGCTGCCCACTCCTGCCCTGCTTTCCCGGGAGCTGTGGCCCTGCTGTGGGGCAGGGCTGGACGGTGCTGCCCCATCGTCCCGGGGGAGCGAGGGGCAAGGGGGACAGAGCAAACCCTTGGCCCTGAGCGAGCCCTTGGCCCTGAGCGAGCCCTTGGCCCTTCCCTCCCACTCCCCCGGGCAGCAGCCTCTGCCTGCAGCTGCACGGGCTCTGTCTCACCCCCTAAATATAGCCGGAGTGGCGGGGGGGGGGGGGCGCGGCACCCCCCCCCCCCCCCGGGGCACCAGCCTCTGCCTGCAGCTGCACGGGCTCTGTCTCACCCCCTAAATATAGCCGGAGTGGCGGGGCGAGTGGCGGGACGCGGGTGTTCCTGGCACCGTCCCTCCCGGGCGCCCTTCCACGCTGCTGTTGGGGGGCACTGGCGCTGGACAGGGTCGGTGGGGCCTGGGGGACCCCGGCCCGTGCCCGGCCCCGCTGCCTGCAGGGGAGAGCAGGGACCCCCCGGCCGCTCTGCCCTCCCGGGCCC